CCACACAAGGTGCCCCGTGGTGCCAGTGGTTAGCACCCAGCTGCTAACCCAAACGTTAGCAGTTCAAACTCACCAGCTGTCCCATAGGAGAAAGGTATGGCAGTCTGCTTGTGAAGATTTTGGGTCTTGGAAAGCCCCAGGGGCAGTTCTCCTTTGGCTTATGTAGGGTGGCTGAGTCCGAGATGGGTTTGGGTATGGGACATGTCCGGCACAGTCCCAAACACAAAGTTCAGTGCACATTTCAGCCATTCTAAGCTTTCCTCCATTAAGACTGAAGAGATTTCATTTCCCTGGTCTCCACCGTCATGTTACAGGCCAGGCATCTGGGGCACAACCAGCTCCAAGGTCCAGGGGCGCCTGTGCTGTCCAGGAGGCGTGACGTGGAAACCACCGAAGGTCCTTCGAACAGTCACTGCTGAGCTTTAGGGATTTGGGCCCGCCTTGCTGGAAAAGCAACACCAGGAGCCTCCCAGGATTACTGTGCAGACTGAATGTGAGGTGTGCATAAGGTGCGAACACTGATGTTACCACTTGCCTCATAAGGTTGCTGTGAGTCAATGGCAGTGCATTGTATGACTTGCCTGGTAAACCAAACTGTGAATGTCCCTAGAAACCATGCACGTGACCATGCTGCCCCCTTGTGGACAAGGCGGCACACAGCCCAGAAGAGACATTTCCAAAGGGCTCTCAACCACTGAAGAATCGGACCATATAGGAGGCTCATGTTCTACCATGAAATTTAGTGAACATCTAAACTAGAATGTATCAGATATTAAGGTGCTTGTTAAAATTCAGCAGTGGGCTGCTAACCTCAAGGTCAGCAGTTGGAAACTACCAGGTGCTCTGTGGGGAAAAGTTGAGGCTTTTTACGCCTGTATAGCTACTCTTGGAAACCCACCAGGGTAGTTCTACCCTGCCTGACCCAGTGGCTATGAGTCAGAATCGACTTCAGCCTGTCGGGTGGCTATTTCCCTGCAGTTTCAGATGAGGGAACGAAAGCAGACGCCGCAGGTTGCTATGTCCAGCTGCCAGTAAGGAGGGGCCTCGGGTCCCAATTTTGGCGCCTGGCTCCAGAGCCTTCAGGCCTCTGTGGATGCCCTAGGGAGGAGGGGCTGTGAAAGGAGGGCAGCAAGGGGCCTGCAGAGGCGAGGGGAGAATGCTGAGGTGTCAGCCAGGCAGTGCCTGTGGAGCAGGAACGAGGGACCTGAGAAAGCACAGGGAAGACTTGGCAGTAAACCAGATACAGTGGGAGTGAGGGGTCAACCTACAGGACTCCTGCGTCTGGCTGGACAATTGGGAAAGGCGAAGGGACCTGCTCTTTGCTGAGCTGGGAAACATGCAGAGTGAGTCTCAAGCGGAAGGTGATTTCCGTTTTTAGAATCAGTGCCTTTCAGTCTTCGGGGTGAGCTATGAGGCGGATGGCCCCAGGCTTCCAGAACGCCGATGATCTGATATGGCAAAGTTTGGGCGTTGGTGCATGTGCAGTCAAGGGTGCCTGAGGTCATGTGGCCAGCTCAGACTCTGTCTGGGCTAGGAGTCCAGTCTCTGGGTGCAGTGGAGGCCTGCCCTATCCGTTCCTGGGCATCCTGAGGCTGGCGAGCAGGCAGAGTGAGATGCTCAGGTGACAGGAAAGGGGTGCTGGTCTTCTGGAGCACAGAATTCCCTCAACTCCTTCTGACCCCGGATCAGCAGACAACACGACAGAGAAAGGCCACCCAGCAAAGGTGGGGAAATATTTATTCTCTTTAAACAAGCTCATAAATAACAAAGAAACCAGGTAGGTCCCCAACTCTGGACTGTGCAGCCAGACAGGGATTGAAGTTGTGGAGTAAAAGGTGTGTGTGTGTGTGTGTATGTGAAGGGGGGTGGGGGTGGGGGGAGAGCATGTATCACTTAAGACAGTGACAGAAAAGATAGGCTTCAGGAGGCTGTTCCTCCTGCCCTTGGACATGGCGTGCCTGGGCAGCAGGGTGACCACCGTGCTCTCAGGGGGCCCTGGAAAGGGAAGAAAGGGGCACGGGGCTGTACTGTTTCTGAGAAGGAAGCCACAAATGGGGGAGAAGCTGTGATGGAGAAGAGGCAAGCAGGGACTCTGCACACCTCCAGGGACCGGTGATAAAGACGGTTAGAGCTGAACATTAACTACCACTCCACTGGCTGTGGCTTTGTACATGGGCTGGATTCAACCTGATTCATTCTGTGGCAGGGGAGGAAGGCTCTAGGAGCCCCCGAAGCAGCCTGGCCACAGCCCAGGGAAGATGCCCAGACGTGCGGAGTGGGAGAGCAGACTCTCCGTGGATGGGAGGCCATGTGCTTGGATTGCGGGACCTGACTTTCTGGCTGCTTTCTTGGGATGTTATCCATTGCCCTCCCTGTACTGAAGCGGAGGAGTCTGGCCTCTGCCCACCTCCCGACAAGTGGCGTGGGATAAAAAGGAACCTGACTGATGTTTCCTTTGCCAGGGGAAACAAGGACCACCCTGTGCACGTTCCCTCCCGTGAGGTAGGGCAGGACCATGTCCAGAACAAGCTCAAGGAATGGAGGTCCCTGAGCCTGGGGAGACATGTGGACCCAGGTGCATCGCCTGATCCCAGGACAAGGGCCCAGGGGCAGCTCTGATGGAGGCAGGGAGCAGCAGGGCTACCTCTATCCAGGAATGGGGAAGGCGCTGGGGAGTCCTGGTTGGGGTGACCAATGCTGGTCAAAGACCCTGGAAAAGAATGTGTTTGGCAGGAACACACAGAAGGGTTTGTCTATCTGGGGATGCCCATGGACAGGGAGCCGGTGTACATGGCCAGGCAGGATGGTGAGGAGGAGACAGCGGCATCACAGTGACCTCTGGTGCGATGTATTTAGAACAGAGCTCAATGCGGAGGGAGGGAGGGCGGCAGGTCACTAACAGCCAGGAAACACGCTGTAAGGGGCAGGAAGAGAAGAGGCAACAAACGTCAGTTGTGCTAAGGAGCCCTGCCCTGGGCCCTACACCACCTCCGCTGCCCACCCAGTTCTCCTCAGCAGCAGCAGGAATAGGCAGAGGACTTCTCCAAGTGCCTACCCCATAAGGACGGACTCCCATGTGAACCTCCTCACAGAAGGGCATCCCAAGAAAAGCGCACATCCCAGTGCAGTGGATGTGTAGGCACAAGTTCATCTCAACCTCAGTAATGACCCCGGGGACCAGACACACAGAAACAATCGGTGTAGAAGCACTCTTGTAGAAGCACACACGGGCTTAGGGCAGGCACTGACCACCTTACCAATGTGCATGTCCTTCACCCCGCCCTTACCACTGGAATCCACCGATGGGCTCTGCAAACCTATGCCGGATCAGGAAAGTGGCCACAGCTTCAGCTACCTGAGAAAGGGAGAGAGAGTCCGAGTCATGTGTCCGTCAGCCATGGACCTGACCTTGGAGATCCTGCAGGCTTCTTGGCAGCTGAGGCTCATGAGTCCCGAAGTTCTGAGTAGCTTGAAATCAAAAGGACCTGGCTCCTGGCAAGGCTGGGAGACTCCTCTCTACCATGCTTACCAGGGAGGGCTCTAGAGGTCCTGGAGCGATGTGAAGGGCTTATCTCCTTAGACTTATAAGCACTTTCCCCTTAAACTTGCAGCGGTTCTCAACCTGTGGGTTGCGACCCCTGTGGGGGTCAAACAACCCTTTCACAGGGGTTCCCCGATTCCTAACAGTAGCAAAATTACAGTTAGGAATTAGCAGCAAAAATAATTTTATGGTTGGGGGTCACCAGGACATGAGGAACTGTATTAAAGAGTCGTGGCATTAGGAAAGTTGAGAACCACTGCCTTGAAGGATGAGCTTGTACTAATTCCAAGTTGTACCCATAGTTCAGGGAGCAGTTTCTATCCCAGCAATCTGACTACCCGATGGTTTGGGGCAGAAAAAAAAGAGTAGAGCTTATGATCTTAATCACAGGCCCTGTGATGAAATATGAGGGGGCCACATAGACTACATAGAAAAATCCAAGCCTGGAGCCAGGGAGAAGGAGCCTGGTAATGCTGCCTGTAAGGTCAGCAGTTCGAAACCACCAAGAGAGAAAGATGAGGCTGTCTACTCCCGTTCAAGAGTTACACTCTCAGAACCCCCCAGGGGCAGTTCTGCCCTGTCCTACGGGGACACTGAGAGTCAGAAGAGACTCCATGGCCACTGAGAGAGCGAGTGTGAGAGCCATGGAGTGGTTTGAGGACCAGAAGGAGGTGCATCAGCACAGGCCCCACCCAGCTTCAGGCACTGCATGCAGGCTACGACTCAAACGTTTGCCCCATCTTGTGTGGGAACCCCGGCTCCTGTGACGGGGTACTTGGGCCCCTCTCACCTTATCTGGGGCGTCCTCGTGCACGGCATGGCCACACTGCGGCAGCACCTGCATCTGGAACTTCCCTAAGGAGACAAGTCTAGGTGACTCTCGAGCCTTAGCTGACCCTCAGCTTATCCCCTCTGCAGCCCACTGTCATTCCAGGAGTTCAGCTCCTGTTTCTAGTGTCCCCCTCCCCAACCAACTCTGGGAACCAGTCAACGAGCTTTGATGAGGGCAGTAATACTTCGTATGGTAACCTTGGGGACACCGCTTTCCCTTCACTTTTCCCTTTTGCAGCTCGTTAGTCTGCCTGACTCCGAACCAGGCGCACAGGAAGAATTCTGCTCTCAGAGGAGGGAAACACACACGCGGGCGGCTTAGTTGCCTCTCCCTTCTACCATAATCGCCCTTGAATCATAATGACTGGACCCAAAACTTACAATGCCAGCCCCCTGGTCGTCCTGCTATATCAGGATCCGATGACTAGAGATATACAAGGGGCTTCAACTAGTTTGCAGACAGAATCGCTTCCCTTTCAATTCCACTTCCAAACTATCACGCCCCCCTCGTACAGTTCATTCCTCTTTGAAGTGTGATGTAAGGAAATGGAGAGAAGTCACATATGCTAATAACCCCGTGCCAGGAACACACTAAACAGCTAGATCATGAGTAATCCGCATAATTCCAGGCGGTGGGAATATTTCCAAGTCCTCCTCTGCCACTTTATAGATGCGGATCCGTAGGCTCAGACAACCTAAATTATTCATCCACGTTGCCCTGTGACTAAGGAGCATTTCTGTTCAGCTGGTCGGAACAGAGCTGGGCAGGCTGCTTGACTCTACGCAGACGGAGCCATTTCCCTTCTTTTAGGAGACAGCCCATTCTCACCATTGACTCTCTCGATTTGGGGAAGGCGTGAAAGAAAAGGCTGCCTCGCCATAATCCCTCTGGGGAAAAGAGGAGCAGCTAAGGAGGGCTTGGAGTGCTTGCTGGAGATAATAAGCACTCTCATTTCCCAGACACTGGCTTACGTCCTAGTTCCTCATTTAAGCTCACAGAACCACGGCAAGCCAACACCTCTCCCCATTTTGGAGAGGAAGCAACTCAGAACCAACCAAGTTAGTAATTCCCAGGATTGATTGACTGGTCTCAAAACTGGTAGTGACCATGGGTTCTGAATGCTATTCCAGAGAGCAGCAGGAGAACTGGACTCATCTCTACGTGCCCAGCCCTGGTATAGCATAGGCCATGCACAGAAAGGGTGCTGAGGAAAATTTGCTTGAAGTTCTGCCCAGAGGATATATCTAATCCTAGCATTTCCAACATCACTGTGTGGTCCCGGCTTCGCGTCTCAGGGCACACCACAGTTAGAGGAAGGCAAGGGTGTAAGGGTGTGGAGTCAGTTTCTGAAGTCACTCAAAAGCCTTTGAACAAGTACTGTGAGGGAATACAGCCCATTCTGTGTGTCGAGCTCACAGGTGGCTACAAGAACAGTTGGAGGGGTCCACGAGACATCCAAGTTGAGCTATCCACCCGGAAGTTGATGCATGCTCAAGTCCGGGGCTCAGGAGACAGGTGCCAGAGGGACTTTTCGCTTTGGGAGTCACTGGAGTGCAGCTGGAAAGCCTGGGATCCCCAGGGATACCGAGTCGAGAAGGAGGAAGGCCAAGCACAGAACCTGGTTAAGCCTGAAACCTTGGTCATGGACTTGGCCTCTCTTCTTGTTACTACTCCACAGTTGTCAGTGCCTATGAAGCCTACATTTAACAATCCTTCTTCCACACTAAAACAGGAGCATCCACACATCTGGTCCCACTGCTGCCTGTCATGTGGCCATGTGCACCTTGTCACAGTACTCCACAGGCCGTTTTCTCAAATATTCTACCCCATGAGTCCTGTGGGACAGTCACCAATTTTCTCACTGTTTTCAGACTCAGAAAACAAAAGCTACAGCAGACTAGCTAGCTTATCCAAGGGAAAAAAGATCAGAGGGAAGTGGTATTCAAATGGACTTAGTTCTCTCAACTTTTACCACCTCACTAGGCTCTCTTCTAAACAGAATTTAGACCTTATTAGCACAGAGATTATTTCAGACCTATCCCTTCCTTAAGAAATCTAACAATAATGAAAACATTGATCAGAATTCTGAATATTTTCTTTCAGAATAACATACACCCACACAGTCCTTTTTATGCCCGTGAGAATTTCCAGTCTCAGAATCCCACAGGGGCAGTTCTTCACGGTCCCACAGGATTGCTGAGTCAGCACCAATTGACAGCAGTGAGTCCAGGGGACTTTCTAGCTTATAACGCCCCTTTCAAACACGGTTTCATTTTAACCCTTACGACTCAGATGGACTATTAGAATTCCCACTCTGATTAAAACAAGTACAAACTCAAAAGAGAGAGAAATTGCCTATGATGAACTAGTGGGTCAGCCGCAGAGGTAGTTGTCAAATTTGGGTCTAACTCCTAAAAGCTCAAGCGCTCTCCACACCTGAGAACATTCATTTCCACGTGGCCTCGCTCTTACCCTCCCTTGGGTGGCTGATCAGTAGGGACAATATTCTTGACAACTTACTTACCCTGCATTTGGCCAATGGTCAGATCTTTATCCAGTCTATCAACACCTGGAACACAAGAGAAGCCTTCACTAGCTTACTGGAAAAGGCTCTGTGGACAGCCCCGTTGTCTAAGTACTAAGTAAACATTATTACAAAGCTGGACGCGTGACATTTTCACTTCCCATTAACACCACACCAAACTCCCAGCCTGTATTCTTATGAGCTGAAGTTTCCTAGGAAGCGCCTCCCCTATGTTCACGCACTCGATGCGAGCAGCTTCTGGAAATAGGGTCTTCCTTGCCAGCGTCTCACCGGACTCTGGCTGTCCTTACACCCCTGCATCTAGTTCCAGGGCGAGAGCCCGCTGAGAGCCCAGCCAGAGTCAGCCCCTCCCAGGTGAGTGGTTTATGCCGAGCCAGGCTTAAGAACTTGGAACAGGGAAGAGAAATGGCACAGAAGAGTGAGGATGGTACTCCGCTTCGGCGCCAAGCTAATTTGGTGAGGAATTTTAACAAAGATATATCCAGATGTCAGTATACTTCCACAAACACACTTACCAGCCAAAAGCAGCAATTTAGGAATGGGACAACTGAGAAAGAGATTAGATAAACCTCGGAACCAGCCATCCCAGTATTTCTCTGTTTTCGCCAGTTCGATTCTCCAAGTGTACGGATGGTCTTTCTTGGTCTGGAGGAGAAAGCACAAGGTCTGGGTCTCGGAGGACGACGGCTAGAGCAATGGGATAAACAGTGGGTTGCCTGGGATAAGGAAAGGAGTTTACACAGTTTACTGTGTCCCAGACATTTCGATGTGAATTAAATGCTTACAAAAGCCTTATGAGATAGGTCATAATGACTTCCATATTTAGATGTCTTTTTTTATTACTAATAAATCATTTTATTGGGGGCTCTTACATATATTAATGTACATCCATCATATCAAGTGGACATGTACAAATGTTGCCATCAACAATTTCAGATGTTTATTTTTTAATTTCCATTAGTTTCAGTAAACTTCTTAAAGATCACAAATAACCTAGCCAAGATTGAGTGACCTTGGCTATATTGGTCAAGAAGGATAAATCACCCAAAGAATCATCACAAAGAACAGTATAGTTTGAAAAAGGAATGCTTATGACACAATATTACATATTAAATTAAAGGAAAAAAAGTAGAGTACAAAATGACATCTAAGTTCCTAAAGATTTAGTTTACTTATGGGCAAGAACTGGAAGGAAAAGTGACAATAGGCTTGTCTGTTTGTTGGTAGAAGCCTCTTTCCCCTTTGATTTTGGTTTTTGATGAGGACACAATATCCCTGCACCACACTTTACAGAGTAATGTAAATACGACAACATTTCCGCCTCTACGAAGTCTTGGTAGTTGGTAAGTGGACAGGCACAGAGCATCATCAAATATTAGCTGAGCAAATGAATGCATCTCTGTATCCAATCTTTGGCTTGATTGAAACACTTGGAACATTAGAACTGAGATAAACCACTGGCATATCAATCAAAATATGGCCATCTATACGTTCTCAAGATGCTGTGTTAAATTGCACTAGATACAAAGTGAGGGCATTTGGACCTTCTAGTTCTGTCTTTGCTACTGACTCACTCAGATTCCATTCTTTCTCTGGGGTTTGATTGATTGCCCACCAGTTAAAGGAGGCAGACAGGTACTTTCTGGTTCTAATGTTCTCTTTCAATCACCCACTGTATTCTCTTCCACCAATATTTCCCAGATACAGACCACAGACACGGTGTGAAATCTGATTCCCATTGCAGCTTCGAACCTCAGCCTGTCCTATGCTCTCCCACACTTTCCACTTACCACTCATTTCTAATAGATCAGCTCTACTGCCCGGGGCAGGGCCTTATCGGACAAGTCTTTCCACGAGTACCCTGGACTTCAGGTGCAGATGACATTCAAAGTAAGAGAACTTCCAAAGATAATGGCAAAGAAGGAAACACACATTCATCTTTTAGACTTTTAATGTATAGCCATTTATCTATTGACAGGAAAGGACATGATGCTGGCATAGAGACAATGCTGAGGGAGGATGACGGTGTGAACTGATCTGTGGGCTGACCTGGCCTGCACTGCCTGGCCACTACTGCCAAGTTGGACCATGAGGTTAGTTTAGATGCTTAACTCTGGCCAATATGATACAATAGACTGATGTACAGGCAGTCCCTGTTCACTGATAAGTTCTGTTCTGTCTTTAAGTGGAATTTGTAGGCAAACAGAAATAAGTGCAAATAGTTCTTGGTTTAGTGCAAGGACAGGCTTGACGCCCTTTCGATGAGCTGGAAGCTGCAGGCACAGCAAGTGAAGGGACTGTGAGAAGGAATTTGCTGTAAGGTTGGTTCAGTCATTCCCAGGAACGGGCACATACCAATAAAAGGCCAGTAGTGGTTGTTTCTAAATTGACTTTTTGTAGCCTGGGGATGGCTTGTAATGAGATCCAGTTGCTGGGTAAGAGAAGCAGAAAGCCAGCTATTCGTCATTCGGTGTGCTCAGCTGGGCAGGATGCAGTTTCCCACCCAAGGGCATCTACCAAGGGCCTCTCTGTTCCTCCTAGTGCCTCACTTGAAAAGTCCTTAATAACACAGGCTCGTGTGAGTCAGGCCCGACTGAATGCAAATCACAGCTCCATCATTCCCTGTGGGTGCCCTGGGAAAGTGAGGTACATTTCTACAATATGGAACAGTAGATGAAAAGAACAGTTGCCTCCCCTTCCACACCCACTAAAACCATTCCCTGCCCTCTCCGTCCAAGAAGGCAGGGCTTCACTTACCTCCACGTCATCTTCTTTTTTCCTCTTGTTTACTGACTCACTTCCTTCCTCCTCCTCTTCCTCCTCCTCTATGATTCCTTCCACTATAGATTTTGAACCTTCTGGACTTGTAATTCCTTCACACCTAGTTGTTTTAAAAGAAAATGCTATTACACACTGCTTTTCTATATACAAATTATCTTGAAGATACTCATGCTTATGGCCTCTTATAATCAGACAGTAACTAAAATTTCACAATGCTCCTATGAGGGAGATGGGGAAATGTGCATTTGGAAATATGCACAAGTAGACCAGGACTATGGAAGATCAGGATCAATACATGACTTACTCCAGGGGCTGGTTTCTAGTTCTTTCACCAATACTGATCCCCTGAGGAAGGGAGGAAGCATTTCCTTTGGCATGATGACAAGAGTTTTATTACCATTGTCTTATAATGCTTATGACAGTCTTTTAAAATAGCCCTGAGAAGTTAAGAAAACTGCCAAGTCACCCAGCAGAGGACTGGATCAAGCTGAGATGCTAATATAAACCAAACTAAACACAATGCCATCCAGATGCCAGGAGAACCAGAAGACAAGGTACGCCCGCCCCTGTGGGCTTCTGAAACGGAAACTCTTTATAGGAGTAGAAAGCCTCATCTTTTTCTCTCAGAGCACCTGGTGGTTTCAAACGGCCACCCCTGCAGTTAGCTGCCATACTTGTAACCCACTCCACCACCAGGGCTCCTCGGGATGCTCATCTAGGTCCAGCGAAGTCCAAAGGACGGTGTGCTTCTGCTGCCCCGCTGATAGGGGGACACAGCTCACACGGAATGCTACGACAATCCTACTCTTAGCTGATCGAAAACCACAACCATAGCCAGCTGACTCTTGGATTTGGAACATGTGATCCAATCAACTGTTGTCTCCCTCCCCCTAAAAAATGATACTTCTTTGTTATGTAGTGACGCAAGAATTATATCAACAGCTAGTATCATAATTCCTTTTACAACAATGCTGGAAAAATGCATGGACAAGTACTGGAGGTAAAGCCCCCAAGGGTCTAGGTAGCAGATCTTCCTTCTCTGTGTAATGGAGAGGTATTTATTAAAATCTAGACGGACTTGACAAATATGTTACATGTTCACACCACAAATAAATGATCAAAGCAGACAGACAGACAGATAAACGGGATAAGCTGAAGGGTCCGTGAAACTTCACAGTGGTAGATTTGAAGAATGGTAACTTTTCCTTCTCTTTCTTTTCCTTCTCTTTCTCCTCTATCAGAACTGTCAACAAAACACATGCTCACAAATGTTTTATTACATGAAGTCTGACAATGTCACGTTTCTCATTTAGGCCCAAGTGCTCTGAAATTCCACGGCCCATGGACTGGGAGGTTCAAGATAATCTCATCCAGATTATGAATGGCAGGAATATTCCATTGTTAAACCTGTGTGACCATTAAAACAGAAACTGTCTCTCTGTCTGTCTGTCTCTCTCTCTCTCTCTCACACACACACACACACATTACAAGTTATCCTTCTTTCTTCATGTTTTAGCCTCTAATGTCCGGGGCCATTCGGCTCAATCTTCACTATATTTTGTCAGAGCTTGCAGTACTTTTCCATTCCCACCTACATGACATAGTTTTGTGATTATGTTATCTCCCTTCTGAATAGCCTGTCCTTGGGACGGGCTAAGTTTAGCCTTCAAGTCTGCCTGAAACAGATAAGGGGGTTTCCATACATGGTGTGACGTTTTTTTTGGATGGAGCACCTATATCCTGCTTCCCCTTGATTGGGTAGGAGATTGTCTTCACCCTATTTACATATCTAGTGCCTGCACCTGATTTGCATAAAATGACGTCACTTCGCGTACCTGGTTGAAGACTGTAAACCGTTACTGAGGGCGCGCTCCCCCGGACTCCTTGATTGGTCTATTGCCAAAGTGGCCTCATTTACATGTGTGATGGGTGTTTCCCTTCCCCTGGCCTATATAGGCTGCAATCTTTCACTCAATAAAGAGAGACTTGATCAGAATACTGTCTTGTCTCCATTTCTCGTGTCTCTTGTTCCCCTCAATTCCCACTCCCTCCTCCAGGGTCTGCGTTGACGTTCCTGTGGGTCGGGGACACTATAAGCAGACCAAGGTGGGCAAAAAGAATACCTACTGTTTGACTTGGCCAACCATTGAGACACGGGCAGACTCCAGATTTCGGATCTGGCCACTCTTCACACTAGAAGGAGAGAAAAAAGGATATAGGAGGGTTTTCAGCATCCATCATGTTACTAGCACCAAATCAACTCTGTGGAGCCTACTAAAAAGAGATCTGTTTCCAAGGTGTGGTTACCACTGTTGCTTAGTGTGGCAATCACCACAAACATGCAGCTGGTTATTAAGGCAATAAGCCAGGGTCACAGCCTTTTCAATGCGGCAAATATTCACCAAGAGGACACCGTATGCTAGGCTTGTGTTCAAGCAGCACATAAGTCAATTGGGGAGGGGGCTGGAGAAGGAGAAGGCAAACAGAGCACATTAATATGATAATGCTTATCATTAAAATAAGCTAGTCTAAAGAAAGCACCTATTCTGAATAAGGAGTTCAGAGAAAGCTTCCCAAAGGTTTTCCCAAAACTGACGACCAAAGACGAGAAGGCAACTGAAGGTTAAAAAGCATGGTCACAACATTCTAGGCAGAGGGCACCCTGTATACAAAGGCCTTGCAATGTGACAAAGTCAGCAGAAGGATCCTTTTAAAGGAAAATGCATGGAGGAGTGGGAGAGAACCTGGGGGAGGTGAGAGAATCAGAATAGGAAAGGGAAGAGGTAAGGCTAAGTCCCAGAAGTTCCTTAAAATACTGTAACAATGATGAGAAATACAACTTTCCTCTAGTTCCTAAATGGTTCCTCCCCGCTCCCACTACCATGACTCGAATTTGATCTTGCAAGTCTGGCTAGACCAGAGGAGGTACACTGGTACAGATAGGAACTGAAAATACAGGGAATCCAGGACGGATGAGCCCTATAGGACCAGTGGTGTGAGTGGCAAAACAGGGAGGGTAAAGGGAGAATGGGTAGGAAAGAGGGAACCGATTACATGGAACTGTGTGTGACCTCCTCCCTGGGGGACAGACAACCGAAAAGTGGATGAAGGGAGACATCGGACAGGGCAAGATATGACAAAATACCCATTTCTAAACTATCAAGGGCTCATGAAGGAGGGGGGAGCGGGGAGGGAGGGGAAAAATGAGGACCTAATGTCTGGGGTTTAAATGGAGAGAAAATGTTTTGAGAAACGATGTACAAATGCGCTTTACACAATTGATGTGTGTATGGATTGGGATAACAGTTGTATGAGCCCCTAATAAAATGTTAAAAAAAACAAAACAAAACAAAATACTACAGAGCTAAGACTCCGTCGGATCTTCTCACACCTGTCTCCATAAGTATGCCTTAGGGCAAAGCAGGACTTCATACGCATCTCTGTGGGAATGGGAAAGAGGTAATCTGAAGAACACATTTCTTTACATTTCATGTTTTAAGCTAAAAAAAAAAAAAAAAAAAAACTCAAAATCTTAAAGCTCCTCCTAACCACTCTTCTATGACTTTTATTTTTATTGCACCTTAATTATATGCAGAAATGTCATCTTAACTTCTTAACTGCGACTCCATCTTTCTACCACCAAATGAATCTACTACTCCACCAGTATTGGTAATCAGACACTGCCCTGATGCTTGTCGAATATATGAAATACTTTTACTCCTATTCAAGGTCGGCCATGGGCAGTGGCTACCCTCTTGAGCTCTTGTGTATGAAAGGATCTTGTTTCCTTTAGTCATCCCATCTCGCCCCTGAGTCATCATTTCCGCCCCCCTCTCTCTGGACATCATAACCATACTGTATGATCTAGACTTTAAAAACATTTGAAACCATTTCTCTTACAAAACAAAACCTTTTTTAAATTTTAAACCTCTTAAACAAGTTATCTTACATCCTTTCTCCACTTTTCTCAACCTACATCAATAGATGTGTTTATCTCCCAATTGTTTCCTGAAATTACTTTTAAAATTGTGTGTGTGTGTGTGTTTATGTGTGTGTGTGTGTGAGACAGAGAGAGAGACACACAAAGAGAAAATCAGGTTAAGGTTTACCAAGCAGATCATCAGTTTACCTTCAACAATTCATACACATTTTGTGTCAACTTGTAGACTGCAGTCCTTAGTGCATCCTCACTTTTAGCCCACCACACCGCCATGTGTTCCTCGTTTCTTCTCTCCTTTCCTAATCCTTGGAACTCTGCCATTAGGTAAACACAACCTCTTTGCCCTTAAGTGGTTGATTATTCTACTACAGAGGTGAGTTCTATTCCAGACCAGAAGGGTAAGGGTCATAGTTTCAGGGTCCCAGGAGTCTCTACCTGACCAGTAAGCCTCATCTCTTTTATGACTTTGAGTTTTGGTCTGCATCTTCTCCCACTCTGTCCAGGACCTTTCACAGAATTCTTTTTCAGAGGAGTTGGTGGGGTATATGGGCACCATCTGGTTCTTCTGGTCTCAGTCATGGAAATGGACTACACTGGACTAATTATTTCCATATGTCTATTTTCACCACTGTTCTTACTTCTTGACGGAGAGAGACCAATGGCTGCCCTGTAAATAGCTGCCTGAAAATACTTTTGTCAACGTCACCAAGACCTGCATTGTATCAATGCTACTGGTCCCTTTTGTCCTCACCTTACTTGATCTCTTAACATCTCAGTTTCTCTTTCCATCCTTCTAGAAACACTTGTCATACTCGCTTGGTTTTTCTCCTACCTCATTAACTAGGCCTTTCCAGTTCCTTTTGTTGGATCTTTCCTTCTCCTCAGTCTCTAAAAGATATGGAGAATTCCAAGACACTCTTCTTTATGTGCACATCAAATCTCTAGGCTTTAAATATCATCTGGGTGATGATTCTTCCATATATCTCTAGTGTAATACACACAATAGACTTGTTCACTTAAATGTAGAGTATTTCAACTTATCCAAACAAAACTCTTGATTCCCTGTCTCCTTCCTGGCTCCCAAATCTACCTACTCCATCTCTTCCATTTATCCAGTTGTTTGATTTCGCTTTCATTTTCTCTCCACCACCCCCAAATGCAATCTACGGGCAAGTCTTTTTACTTCTTCAAAATTTCTTGAAAATATATCCCAAATCTGACCTTAGCACTCCCTTTGTTGCCAACCTAATCTAAGTGCACCATTGTCATTCTCCACGGCAACTACAGAGTCTCCTAAACACTTCCATTATCACCCTATTTCTCCCTCCACACCCAACCCCTCCCCCCTACTTCCCCTACTGTATTATTGTCACAGCAGCCAGAATGGTTGAACCCAAGATTTAAATCTACATCTGTTTGGCTCCAAAGCTCAGGCTTTTAATGACTATACCCCACTGCCTCCTATTTGGAAGGCTGAAAGAGTAAACCAGGAATCCACTTAAAACGCTTTAATGAATTCTATTAAAAAAACAACAAAACTGGAATAGCCAAAATGGCCATGAGCCATAAACTCAATTCAGATAGCCAGACACTAGACAACTAAATTACCAACCCTGCCCCATAGCTTTCTTTCCAACTTTGAGGCTTAGATAGTGATCGCTGAAAATCAGAGCTCACATCACATCTTAATACTCAAAAAGAACATGCATAGCATCTCTTGCATCTGGCAACAGAATCACACTCTCTCCTTTAAGAGAACACATACCATGGTCCCCAGTTGTAGATTGGGGACCCACCTCTTTTCTGCATCCTTTCGGCCAAGGGAAGGGTATTGTTTGTGTCTCCACAGGGAAAGAGGGACCAGATCTAAAGCTAGTGCCAGATGAATGCAGCTTGCTGGCAAAGAGTGGGGAGCCAGTGGAGGGGCCTGAGGGCTCGTCCCCCATACCAGCTACGTGAACAACAGCCCCTCCCCCCGAAGAATTTGTTTGAGAAGATGGCACTGAAGCTGCAGCTAGGGGAGAGGGGCATGTCTGATCAGAGCAAATGGGAGCACTTAAGAGGAGGGAGAGAGAGTGGAGCACATCCTAACCCACCAGGCCTGGAGGACGACATCCCTGCTCTGAACAGCCAATGGACAGAGGACAATATGGCTGATCCCACCATGAGACAAGCCGTCTCTTGATGGCCCAGGGCTCTAAGGAGGACAACACTGGAGACTCAGTGTCGGGACTGGCCCAGACTGACCCTGAGACACCAAGACAAACCAC